TCCAGCGCGCCCGGCCCTCCAGCGGCCCTCCCGCCCGGCCCAGCCGGTCCCTGTGGGACCTGAGCCGCCTGTCGCAGCTGTCGGACTCCAGTGATGGTGACAACGAGGTGAGACCCGGTGGCCACCTGAGAATGACAACAGCTGGTGGGGGGTGGAGGCGGCTAAGGCCATGAAAGGGGAAGAAAGGGCTTGCTGGTTCAAGGTCATCCACTTGGGCTCAAGGGCCCTTACTCTGTTTTCTTTTTTTTTTTTTTTTAAATATATTTTATTGATTTTTTACAGAGAGGAAGGGAGAGAGATAGAGAGTTAGAAACATCGATGAGAGAGAAACATCGATCAGCTGCCTCCTGCACATCTCCCACTGGGGATGTGCCCGCAACCCAGGTACATGCCCTTGACCGGAATCGAACCTGGGACCCCTCAGTCCGCAGGCCAACGCTCTATCCACTGAGCCAAACCAGTTTCGGCCTTACTCTGTTTTCTGAGGGCCTACTATGTGCCTGGCCCCAGGGAGGTCGGGAAGCCAAGCTGCTCGCCTGAGTTCCTAATCACACGGTGTTTCCTGAACCCACACTGTGTGCTGGGCAGACAAGGAGCAGAGACCCCCAAGAGTCCGGGGTGTGAATCCTGCCATGATATATCAGCCGTGAGAACCGGGGTGGGGGTGGGGCGGGGCGGGGACTTGCCTTCTCCGAACCTCCATGTTCTCATCTAGGAAATGGGCTGAGTGGTAGCTTCATCCTCAGTTTGGTTGGGAGAAGGAGTCAACAGAATGAAATAGAGTCACATTCGCTCTTTCACTATAAAGTCCCCAAATGGAATTTATTTCACCACATCCTCATCCCAGGTCAGCGCGGCAAGATGCTCACCGTGCGCATTGTTGCGGAGGGGAAAGCTGAGGCCCAGAGAGGTTAGGTAACTTGCCGAGGTTGAAACAGCGGTCTTTCCTGGGCACCTTCCCAGGTGCCAGGCCCCAGGCCAAGCGCTTTCACGGAAGTAGTTACATTTAACCTTTGCCACACGCCTCGGAGGCGGATGTTATTCCATCCATCCATCCACCCATTTCACAGATGGGAAAACTGAGGCACCGGGGAGGCTTGGGACTCAGCCCTGGTTGCCTCCCGGGTGGGGCTTTGACATTCTCTATGCCCTGGCTTCCCAGATTCCAGTGTCATGAGCTCAGAGGGGACCCATCTCCCCCTGCTTAGACACTTGGGGTTCAACAGGGCCTGCCCCAATTCTCTGGGGGACCCTGGGCAGGGCCTCCATGTCCCTGGCTGTCAAGGAGGCTGTTGAGAAGGTCAGAGCAGAGCCATGTGGGAGAAACAGGCTGAACTGGGGGCCAGGATCTCTGTGAGCTGTACCCCCTCTAAGCCTCAGTTTCCCCGCCTGCTAAGTGGGAGCTAGAGGCCGGCCCTGAGGGTGAGGGAGAAGGAGCCCAGGAATTGCCTCCCTCGGTCCCAGGGGAGAAGGGGGATGGGCAGGGCAGGGCCAAGGTCCTCGCCTCCACCCGGTCCTCGGCCACCCTCACCCAGCATCACCTCCCTTGGCAAATATTTGCTGCCCCCACCGGGCGGCTGCTGGCTGCTTCCTGTTCCTCCCCAGCTGCAAACTGCAGGGTGGGGGACACACACCTCCTGGCCCCTTGGGAGCTCCAGGGGTCCCAGGCCTCTCTGCTCACCTCCCTTTGGTTCTGGAGCTCAGGGGCCTTCTCCCCTCCCCTCAGCGTCATGCCCTCCTTCCCTCACCTCCCTCTTCTGTGTCTTTCTCTCTCCTGTCTCATCTCCTTTTATCATCTGTCTCCCTCACCTCCTCCAGCTTTCACCTCCCTCCCTGGACTCAGCCCCCAGGAGCCTCCGCTCACCTCCTCCTCTCTCCCTCCACAGCTCAAGAAGTCCTGGGGCTCCAAGGACACCCCAGCCAAGGCCCTGATGAGGCAGCGGGGCACTGGGGGGGCCTCCAGGGGTGAGGTGGGCTCCCGTCCCCTCGCCAGGCCCCAGCCCTGGGGCGGCCCGCTGCCCCCCATCCCTGCCCGCCACCTCCACTACCTCTCCCCGACCCGAAGGAGGTTTGGAGACGATGCTGCACCCACAGCCCTGGAACCTAGGGGTGGCCGGCAGCCAGGCTGGGCCACCCAGGCAGGACTCAGGGGGCGACCCTGACAGAAGCCAGAGCCACCCCGAGCTGGCCCAGCCCAGGAGGGCTGGACGACAGTGTGCTGGGAGCCAGGCCTCAGAGTCTGGGAAGCAGGAGGGATTTCCCCCCAAGGATCCTAGAACTTGGGCAAGTCCCACGCCCACCCTAGACCTCAGCGTTGCTGTCTACAAAATGGGCAGAACGTCTGGAGGAGCTGGGATCCCAGAACATTGCACATCCCGCCCCGGGCCATGTGAGAACTTCTCTGAGGGGAGGCCTGGCGGCGGGCCCCAGGCTGGGCTGTGTGTGGGGACCCTGGGGGGCGGGGTGTCCCTGGGGCCCACCTGCTCAGAAGCCTGGGCAGCTGAGCTGGGCTCAGGGGAGGCGAGACCTCAATCCAGGGGACTGAGCTGAGTGAGGAGGGACTCAGATCGGTGGGGACACGCCTGCTGGGGAGCGGCTCAGGGCCCCGGTGACGGGCTGGGCAGGTGCTGGGACAGTTTTATGGGCGCTAAGGGGTTAGTTGTTGGGGCTCCCTTTTACCTCTGCCCAGAATAAACCTGCCTCCTGCCAAAAACTTGCATTTTCCGCTGCCTAGTGGGGGACCCCGGGGTCCCGGCCACACCTCCCTCAGATCCAGGGGTCCAGGCCGCAGCACCCCGACTCTGGGAAGTCAGGCGCCGGGCGCTATGGGGCTTCTGAGTCACCCACCCCATCGGTGCGCCAGGTGGGGAAGAGGACC